AAGTCAATTTCCTCTAAACACACTTTCTTCATATTACTTCCTTGGTGAAGAATCCAAAATGAATCCCTAATGCCTCCTACATAATTTTTTATTTCTCCTCAAGTTTTCAAGACATCCATCAAAAGCCCCACTTATCTACCTATCTACCCTTATTTCCAATTATTGCACATTATAGTTCTGTTCCATTCAGGCTGGTCTTCTCACCATCTCCTTTCCACTAGACACAAGGTCCCACCTTTTGCGCTGTTGCTCTTGTTACCTCCTATCTCAGATCCAGCCAGAAGAACTCAATTCTCCCTTCTAGGGCTGACTCCAAGGCTTTCGGTAAGGTCACGATTCGTTTTTCAGGGACACTTTCTTGATTTTTGTTTATCCTTTTCTTCAACACGAATGCATGAAATCTTCACACGATGCAAAATACAGCGAGACTTATAACTCCTATGATCATTACATTTTAGCTCATAATAACCACGCACCGAGTGCGCTTCTCTTAACGTTTTCCTCGGACACGTCATCTAGGGCTAGCACTGTGCACCCACAGACTCCTGTATCCCACCCTCGCCCCCCACCCCCAAAGCATTTAGTCCTGCGAGCTGTACACAGCAGGGGCTCAACGCCCTAAACCAACGACTGGGCTCGCGAGGGCGGGGACAGGCAGCCAGGCCGCCGGCAGTGGGAGGCTCCAGGTGTGTTAAGTCACTCTGGGTGACTCAGGGCCGGAGCCGGCCACCTCTCGCAGCCGGGCCTGTTTCATCCGCCCTGCAGATTCCGTCCAGGCCCAGGCCCGGCGAAGGCTCCTCGGACGGGCTCTCCTCGCCCACTCTGACAGTTCCTACAGCCCCCCGCCCTCTCCTCCCGCGCTGGGGTCGGGCCGTCAAATCGCGGGAGGAAAGGGGGAGGGGTGGAGCTCAAAGGGTGTAGCGCGCAGGGTTCAGTGCCACTCACCGCCGCCAGATACCAGACCCCGGGCTACCCTGACGATATGACCAGCAACTGCGACAAGCACTTGGTTGTGGCGCGACAGAGGCGGCGCCCAGCACTTCCTGCCTTGGGAGGCGGACCGGAAAACGCTGCGGAAGGCGCGGCGGAATCCACCTCGCGACGGGGTGGGGGACGAACAGCAGTAGTTCGCGCTTAGGATGCAGTAAACCCCGCGGTGTCCGCCGGGGAACGGAACTCCGGCCGAATAATACGGCCAGGATTTTAGCTGGCTCCCCGAGCCTGGAGGATCTGTGCGAGGCGGTGCGCCTGCGGCCCCGTGGCCCGCCCTCTCCCCCCGCCGGCCGCACGGTATTCCCGAAGCCCTTCCGCATTCTTGGGCCTCCGGGCAGGGCCAGGAATTTGACCTGGGCGGGGCAGGATGCGGTTCCTGAAGATTTGGGGGTTCCCGGGCCCCGAAACTGTTCACCGGGAGCTGCCAGCGTAAACAAATCATAGTACAGCGGACCTAGTTAAATTTGAGGGTCAGATAAAACAACTTTTTGGGTATGCCCTTACGAAATACTGCGGAAGGTAAGAGGGCGACGGCCGCGCCAGCGCCTGCCTGCTGGAAAACCCTCTTTTTAAACTGCATTCCAGCCCGAGTTATATCATTTACATCTCCTCCTCCTTTCTTATCCTTAAATTATAAGGTTTACGGTAACAGGCCAGGGCCAGTCTGTTTCATTCTTCTTCCAACCACAAGAAAGTTTTATTCAAATTATTTGCTTTTGGGGGGATAAAGAGATGACAATTACACGCACATACAATCGCTTACGCATTACATATGTTCTTGGTCAAAACAAAGGAAACCACGAAACTACATTATTCACGTTTTGTTCTGGTTGTTTGTGACTCTATAATCGTCAGTTCCTCACCCTGGAGTAACGAATAGCATTATTTCTGAATGGAGGATAGTCAATCTAATAGCAAATCTTTATTGAGCATTTGTGATTGCCTGAACATGTGCTGGTGCTGGGGAGATGAATAATTCAATCGTTTATATTCTAGAAATATTTGACCAGAAATTCCTAGATGGTAGAAACTGTGTTCAGCACACTATACAGTAGTTCTTAAACAGTAACATGCATGCATAAAAAAAACCTTGGGGGGTTTCATAAAAGATTCTTGAGCCCCAACCCTAGGTACTCAGATTCAGCAGGTTGAGGATGAGAGTTGTTCTAAAAGCACTCACGTGATGCTGGTGCTGTGGTCCTCATCCCTGCCCAACGTCCAGTTCATAACAATGCATTTTTTTTCAGTAGAGTTTGAAAAGCAACTGCAGAGAAGTCACACCTGGTTCTAAAGTATTTACCCTTTCCCTTAGCTCCAGTGTGCCCTTGGTCCAATAGTTTGTCTATTTTTTTCCCGCCAATTGTAAGATTTTGGCTTCTTAGGTCCTTGCCTTAGAGCTCTTCTAAGTATGGTCTATTACCATTCCATAAACCCTCTCAGAGGCCACCTTAAGTAAGATCATAGCTGAGACACCCTGACTGTACTTTGACTTTGATCTCCTTATTTGTTTCTAGAACCGCTTTCCAATAGTCACTAACCACATGTGCCTAGCATCTTTATTGGACAAAACAGAGAGAATTTCCATTATCACTGAACATTCTACTAGATAACACTGTTCCAAAAAAAGTAATTCTAGGTGTATTTTTCTCTCTCAATTCAAAAGAAAAATATGAAAGGCTGAATAAATATCTAGCACTTGGGAAATGGTTTATGGCATTTCATCAAATGTGTCTAGTATAACTGAGAAAGTGAATTTTTAATTTATGGTTTCCTTAATACTTTTTTGTGGCTCTATGTACCTCCAAGCCCTTTTACTGTCTTCTCAGTTTTCGTAACTTGCTAACACATCCCTAAGTCTAGGTGTAACACGGCTTGCTGTCTTTTCTACTTTGTAGAAAATTGTTGCCTTTCCTTTTCAGAGGTTGCTTTGTCTCAGTCTGGCCTTTTGTTTCCCTGTAACACTAATCAGTTCCTGCTCTTGAGTTATTGGCTTCCTGATGAAGTAAAATTTGGGACCTGGGAGGCCAAAAGACAATATAACCAACCATAAGATGGTAGAAAATGATGCTATACTCCTATCAGGTTGGTTTCTCAGAACTTTTGAAGTGATTTGTTTCAAGTATGATTTTCACCATGGAAAATGGTTTTTCAGTCAAATCCACTGTTGGAGTAGATGCTTTGGCTTTTTATTAGCAATCATCTTTGCTTAAGCAAACCCTACCTACTACATAGAGAATGCTATTACTAAATTAGGAGACTTATTTCATTCAAGGGAGACCATGCACTGCACTGCTTCTAATGGCAGCTGGTTCTTTGAGCAGTCATCTGAAATGGAAATGGGGACACAGCAAGAGATAATTTTAGTAAATGAGATCACTTTTTTCCCCTAAGTGCAAACAATGTTATTTGTTCTTCACTAGAAATCTGTTAACAAAGCAGAATTCAACAAACAAGATTTTAGCATCATGGTTATAGCCTGGAAAGAGTAGTTTCCTTAAATTACTGAGTGAAATTCAGGAGTTAAGACACATGTTAAGATTCTAAACTTAAAAAGGGGCAAGTACAGTCTTGGTACTGGTCCTTCTATTCCTGTTCTATAAAGCTGGCCTCACGTTAAAAGATTTAGCTCACTGACCTTGTTGAGTGCTAAGATCTGCAACCCTGAAGGCATTCAGTAATTGTTTACTGAGTGAAGTAATGATTTTGTCCAAGAATAGTCTGGTTAATAAGTAGCGTAAAATGTAAAATTATTGGAGTAACTGTCAATTAGTCATCTTTATAGGCTAATTGTCCAATTTTTTTCAACTTTTCCCCCAATGTTTCACCTTTTAAACTCATGAAATCTTTCAGATTTTTGAAGCACAAAGTAAATGAAACTGTTAGTCGCTTCCTCATTAACTCAGAGACAGTTCTGCATTTCTGGAAGTAGAAGTTATTTTGAGGACTGAAATAATGATCTCACTTTCCCAAGCACTTAGCTTCAGCTGTGTTTTTTTGTGGGTGTTTTTTTTTTTTTTTTTGGTGGGCAGGTCAGGAATGTCCGTAATTCATACAAGAACTCAGTGAATCTCTGCATAAACAAACATGGTATTTCAATAGAGGTTATTGTGTTAAAGCAAAGCTTTATACAATTAAAAATTCTGTATTTTATTCCCAACACTTTGAAATACAATAAAAAAATTCCTTTTTGGTAGAAGCATTCCAGAGAAGCTTTGGGTCTAAAATAGTTTTAAAAATGAGGACAAATTAAAATTAAACTTAGTGGCTTGGTCTAATTTTAAATGACATCAAGTAATGTACAAAAACTTAGGACAAATAAGAAGGGATGTTGGCAGTATGTTAAACTTAAGGAAAAGCTACCAAAGTTATCATGTATATGCAGCTTCTACAGCAGGAGTGTCCAGCCTTTTGGTGTCTGGGCCACACTGGAAGAAGAGTTGTCTTGAGCCACACATTAAATATGCAAACACTATTGAAAACTGATGAGCAAAAACAAGGCCCATGCCTAATTTTCTTGATATCCACCGCCACAGGTAAGCAATGAATTCCTCCCATAATAACCTTAATTATGCAGCAGCCCTTCCAATAATCTTTTAAAATCATCGAGCAGTTCCCAAGTTTGTGATCACTAATATAGAAAATGTACGTATCTAAGTAATAAAACTAATGTTTTGGGTAAATTTATAATTTTGTGTTGGGCCACATTCATAGCCATTCTGGGATGCATATGGCCCACAGGCCACGGGTTGGACACCTGTTCTTTCGGAATTTATTTTTAAAATTGGAAACAGTGCAGGAAACAGAATTAAGGCAGTAAAAATGTACCTCTTTGGCAGGGGAAGGGATATCAGAGGAGACAGGACTGTTAGGAAAACTGGGAGAAGTAAGAGAAAGGTCTCATAACCACCCCATTTTCTACGGTTTGCCTCATCTACCTTTCTTTGGAAGGTGCAACTAAAACTAATAAAAGTTAATTTTGGTAAATAAAGAGGTTTTAAACAAGTAAGTTTTTATCATAAAGTTTAATTATGGTTCAGAAAAAATTGAGTGAATAACTTTCTCTGAAAAAATATATTGACTCTGTGTAGATTGTAGTTATGGGAGGAGCTGGCAAGTTAAATTACCCTATTTTTTATTCTGAAAATGACAAAAAGTCCCATTTCCAGTCTGATTACAGAGATGCATGTGCCCAAAATGGCTGAGAATAAATACCACAAGAAAGGCTAAAGCTGTAAAGCTAGGGCATGATATAGGCTTTAAGAGAAAGTCTCAGAAATACCCAAAATGGCAACAAGGAACATTTGGCTGGAATCTGGAGTTCTTTTCAGTCATCTTTGTCTTTTGCTCCATGTTTAAGGATGCGTGTGAACTCGATGTAATTGAAATTTCCCTTTTTGTCAATAGGTGCTTCTCTGTACAGCTCATCCACTTCCTCATCTGTAAACCGATCTCCCATTGTTGTCAGCAGCTCCCTCAGGTAATCTTCCTGAATGGTGCCTGAAAAATAAAGAACTGGTGTTCAGAATATATACCACTCTGAAGATTAATTACAAGAAACATCTACATTTGACTAAGCATTGTCTACATCAAATACGGGGTCCACATGCTCAAGTCAGCCTCAGCAGTTGCCTGGCAAATACCGAGTTGTTTAATGGCATTAACCTGCTCTGCTCTATCAACCTTCCTCTACAGCCATCTCCTGATTTCTTGATTATAAGGGCGAACCTTATGCCTAAACAAAAACAATAAAGTATGATTAAAGAACCTTAGCCTCATAAAGTAGCATGAATGGTCATACTTATTCTTTAAGTAAATAACAGTAAAAGTAGCATGAATGGTCATACTTACTAAGTAAATAACACTAAAATCAATACATCAATAAAGTGCTTCAGTGGAAAGAATGCTGGAGTCATGAAGTCCAGTTTTAACAAGCTATGTTATTTCAGCTATTTCACTTTACCTCTGATTTTTTTTTAATACATAAAATGAGATTTTTAAGTTGTTGGTTTAAAAAAAATCTAATTTAGATTTAATAACAGATAAGGCCATGCCCAGAGTGTGCAAAAACACTGAATAAATTGAGCATTAATTGTGTCAGTCGCTGGGTTAGGGGGACATGAATGGTGAACCGGAAGGTGTGCCTTCTACTCTGGAATCACAAAAGCAGGGTTCTCATAAACCCTGACTGCACATCAGAATCAGAATCATCCAGAGAACTTAAAAAAAAAGAAAAAGCCCAAATGCACTGATATTTTTTGATATTTTTAAAAGTCTCCCCAAGTAATTCATGACATGCGCAGTCATGACTGAGATTCCACTACACCAAAGATGATAAATAATAATTTTAGCAGAGATTTTGAATTTCATGTTAAAAAAATAAACCAAACTAAAAAAAAACAACAAAAAAACTGCCTTGCATGTAAAATTAAGCTAAAACATTGGTAATACATTTCCTATAAACTGAGTTTAAAGTAGAAGGTCAGCTCACATAAGAAACTAGATTTATGAGGTTTTTTTTCCTAATTCAACATTAAATTAAAAAAAGCCCCAAATCTTAGACTTTCAGCATGTAGAAATAAATCATCATCTACAGCCAGGTCATTCAACTATCACATAAACTAATCATCAGCTATGTGCAATGGACTATGGTAGGTGCTAGAAGGGGTTACAGAGATGACAATATAATGCCACTGAAGACACCCAGCCAGCAGGGAGACACTGTGATGATTAGGAATAAGTATACAACTAAAATAGAAAATCAGATAGTTATATACCAGGAGAGAGAGAAATAAAATTGTTTGGAAGTAGAAAGAAGGGAGAGACTTTTAAGTTTTCTTAGGGGCAGGAGAAAATAGTATAAAAATGTGGACTAGGCTCTATAAAGAATATGATAATTGAGAGGAGTCTGAAAAATAGATAAGACATTTCAACTCTTTTATGGTTTTATTACCCCCAATTAAAAAAAAAAACACCTGCTCATAATAAAAGAATTCAATCAATATACAAGTGTTTTTTAGGAGGAAAAAAAAGGGTAATTCTCCCCTGCCAGCCTCTTCCCCAGCCCTTGCAGAAAAAAATTGTTAGGAGTTTCCAATTCAAGATGAAGGAGAATGCGGTATGATAAGGAAGGCATAGACACAGAAATGACGGAGGTTAAGTTAGGACAATACACAGAGGAGCTTGGAAGGAGGTTGGAAAGATGATAAGAGTCAAGGGTGGTATACTTGAATAGGCCTAAAGAAGCCATATTGTGGGGAGCCTTGAAAGCCAAACTGGCGACATTATGCTTCCTTGCCACACTATGTTTGATCTATTCAAACTACTTCAAGTAATGCATAACCAAAGGGTGTGCCTTTCTTCTCAAAAAACTTGCCATATGGATTGCCTCCTTATCTTTTATATACACTTTTGCCAAAGGATTAGGCATTTCTGTGGTTAAATTTCTGATTTTTTTCTGAGATTTAACTCTATGCCAGGCAGTATGCTATTATTTCATTTCTTCATTTAATCACAACAACCTTATAAGGTAGTAATACTGTTACCCATTTTACAAATAAGAAAACAGATTTAGGTAAGTAACTTGCCTTAAATCCACAGCTATTATGTAGAATAGAAATACAAAACTAGAAAGTCTGATAGCAGATTTAAACAATCTCAGAACTGAGAGGTACATGATAAATAAATATAGAACTATAACAGTGTCGTGGCCTATAGCAATTTTCACTTTATCCAAGATTGCTCTGGTAAGCTATTCATTCACCACATGTTTAGTGAGAACCTAATCCGTGTGGAGTATAACTTTCCTAAAGAACTTTCAAATACACCTATTAAATTGTAAACCAAATGTTTAAGGGCAGAGGCAGTAAAGTGAGTGATGCCATTGGAGAAGCCTGTCAAAACAACAACAAACAGACAAATAGGTATGGTATAAACCTGAGAGTATTATGTCATATTTCAAGTGATTATATACTTCAGTTACCATAACTAAGTTAAATCACTTGGTAATTACCAGTTGCTTCTTCATCAAAGCATGCAAAAGCATTTCTGATGACATCTTCTGGATCTGTGCCATTTAACTTCTCACCAAACATTGTGAGGAACATGGTGAAATTTATGGGACCCGGTGCCTCGTTCATCATGGCATCTAGATACTCATCTGTTGGGTTTTTCCCTAAACAAAAAAAAGAGGGTGGTAATTTTGATTACACCACAAAATGCATCAACTATTCATCATAGTAAACATTTTGACAAGAAAGATGATCATTAATAGTCGGCTCTTTGCATTTGCAATAGCAAAACTATTATGAAAACAGTCTTTTCAATGAACAGGGCTTGTATTAAAAATGGAGATTACATGCTATTTCATTGGGATGTCAAAAGGAGTAATACCATGCTCATAATCAAGATCACTGTTTGCAACACACACACAAACAACTGGACCCTAGCCCAGTCAAGAGACCTGGCCAGATATCTGCAGGTGGTCCCAAGACCACACTTTGAGAGACACTGCTCTAGACTTCGAATCATATTTAGTAAGCTGTAACATCATTAGATTGGCTTGACAAACCTTTAAGACTTAAGGAATATTTAAAAAAATCACAAAAATACTATCTAATAACATATTAATACTAAAACTGATCATTACCCAGTGAGGCAAGCATATCATGTAAATCTTCCTTATCAATGAAACCATCTCTGTTCTGATCAATCATGTTGAAGGCCTCTTTAAACTCCTGAATCTGTGACTGGTCAAACATGGCAAACACATTGGATGTTGCGCGCTGGGGGCGCTTCTTGGTGGTCTTGGTCTTTGCCCTTTTGCTCGACATGGTGGTGATTAGATCCTAGTTAGGAAAGGAAATACAAGAAGACAAAGAATAACAAAAGGTAACCTGAATCAACCTTCCTGATATGTGTAAGCTACTTAGAGATTTGTCTAAAAATTATTTAGCAGTACAGCATCACTTGGCAACATATCACAATTAATTGACACCATTACTCATTAAACCAAATTACAAGAGAAGAACCAGAATCATGCTTTGAGTTCACTCATCCTTAGGAGTTTTGACATTTAATCAACAGTCCATCACTTCAATCACTACTTTAAATTCCAAACTACAATCACCATTACGTCAAAGTGCAGAGGATATCAACAAAATTGCATGTCCCCTGTACTACTGTATAGTCTAATAAGGACCAATAACGAAATCTACTGGTTTAGTAGCAATATATAAACAAGAAACAAAAGAATGTAGGTATCCGGGGGAAACAATTCTAGTTCATACTTCAGTGCTTTGGAAGTATTATTTGGAGGAATATTAATTCATCTTCAACAGGTCTATCCTACAGCCCTAGCCTAAACTAGCTATTCCATTCTTAAATTGACAGAAAATGAAGGACTAACTGATAAACATCTAGTCTTTATTGCTAAACATTGTTCTTCAAACTAGCATTTCTTACTGTACCCTCACTTCTGGAATCAAAGTAGTCAAGAAATATTTGTTGAAAGGCTAACTGAAAAGTATGGAAAACTCTTAATTAATCTATAATTAAGTCTTACCAAATCCCCACTCTACACAAATCAATTTCTTGCACAGAGAAGTGACTGAGTCCTTTATACAAATACCAGAGAACAATAGCTTTTAAAGCTAATTTTGTTTTTTGAAGAGCTTGGAAAGCATTTGAAGAGGTATGGAAACTATCTCTGTTCTCTAATAATCTAAATTTATCCCTATAAAATTTAAGTTAAAAGAAAAAAGAATGTCTGATACTGAAAATGAAAAAAGCAATTTTCCTTTCAAAACTGAATCTTTAAAAAAACTGTAAGAATCCCATCTAGGTAAAATTTTACCATACCATCCTTCAGAGCGGAGTTGGCGATAGTAGTCTGCAAAACCTCTAACAAGCAAGACTAGCACTGTATTGAGTTATATTCTTCCAAGCAGGTCTAAAATAGGCACCACTGATTTCATTCTCTGACCAGGATAACAATTTTAAAGCTTACGTTCTGAAAACAACATTTAGCTATGATGTAGCAAAATACTAATGCCCTTGATCTAAAAATAAGTCTGTGGATTGCAAAGAATGAAACACTACCTAAATCGCGGCACTACAAAGTGACCTTAGAATATAATGCTTTGTGTGAGTTTTAAAGTTATTTCTTACATATTTTCCTTGATTATACCACATCATCCAGACTAAATTCAATTACGTAAATAATCAGAAAAGCATTCTGAGTCCCCCCGCCACCGCCTAAATCTGTTCTTAGATTTTAATGGGAAGTTCCACAAAGAAGAATAGCAAATTCCAGTCCATCCAATAGAGCACCCCTTGGCGATACACTGGAATGTGTTGGTAAGATATACTTACACGACCATGAAGTTATGATATATACTCGTCCCTAATTTCCTAGTTTCCTTTAATCATCCTTTAGAAGGCTGCCTTTCATAATTTATCTAAACCATTCACAAAAGCATATTTTCATGCTGTAACACGTTTTATGGGCAGTAATTACATTCCATTATCATCTCAACTACACGAAGCTATAATTTTTCCCTCTATTTTAAATGTAGTTTTAAGAACTATAAAGAACATGGTATATATAATTCCCCATCTCTTAAAGGTACTGAAGGACCTAGAGTAAGTGTTTGAGACCCGATGAGTGGCACATATTTACCAATACAAATCTCTTTATTATTTTAGGCATGCCATGTCACTGCAAACCAAAACATGTCTTTAAAAATAGTATGTTTTGTTTGACAACACTGCCTTCCCCCAATGACACAGGAATGTCAGTTCTTTTAAGAAGATACTGATAGGAATTATAGGTCAAATGGTTGATAACTGATTTATTAATCTTCAAAACTTCATATTACTACATTTGGTGGGAGGGTGTAGGGTCTCTCTAGTTTGGGTCCTGGCCAGCTAGCTCAGTTGTTTAAAGTATCTTCCTGAAATGCCAAGGCTGTGGGTTTGATATGCTGTCAGGGCACATAAAAGAATTGACCAATGAATGTATAAATAAGTGGAACAAGAAATTGATGTTTCCCTCCTTTTCTCTCTAAAAAAAGCAATAAAAAGAGTAAAAAGAAATACTTAGTTTGGTTATAAAATAATATATGTATTGAGTTTTGGATGTATTTCTTATTAATCCTTTTATTCATGCATGCTTTAAATTTGTAAATGCATTAGTGTCTTTAAAGTTAAGTTTTTTGCATCAGCACTGACAGTGGTATTAAATAGAACTTTTCTTTCACTCATTCAGTACTTAATCATCAACCTTTATTATGATCAGTTAATGGAAGTAATGTGCATCAAATGTCACAAGTGTTGAAAACAATTTAAGAATTAAGAAATACAAGGCAAGTGTCCTATCTTCAAGAAGCCTAAAATATTGTTGGGGAGGCGACTATAAAGAAATAAAATGATTGGTTTAACTTCTGAAATGAGTCCACATAGTTTTCATTCCAGAAGTATGACTCTCAATTTAAAACAATGTGACAATAATGAAAAATAATTCAAAAGTGGTACATAATTATCAAATAATGTGACTTCAGAAAAGATCTTTGTTTCTGACAAATTCAGAGGAGGGAATAAAAGACCCTGAAAAAATGCTGTTGCACTTAGAAGCTACAGGAGATTCTTAATTGAGATTCAGATGTTAGTCTTAATTCTACCAAAACTGGTAGGTAACACTGGGCAAGTCACTACCTTTTCAAGACTGTATTCTGTTCTTACATTTATCTCCCACCATAAACCTGGGGCCTTTCAGGAACAGGAGTTCAGCCTCACAGTCGGGGATAGGGAATTCAGCTTCACAGTTAGTTGTTTGAAAACAAGTGTAGTTTATTTTTTCCTACCAAACTAAAAGTATGGGGTGGAATAAACACTGGTAGAGAGGAAGCCAAATCAGGAAGAGTGCTATGATCCCAAGGACCAAATTACTTATGATATTGTCATTATACTCCCTGTCATCATTCTATAGTTTTCTGTCCATTTTTACTTTCCCCAAACAATTAAGACTGTAACTGTCTTCATGTTACAAGACCTCAGCAAATGCACAACTCTCAATGATTTCAGCAAATATAAAACTCTCAAAGAAATTTAGAAAGCTGGGGTAAAATGAAAATATTTCATATATCAATGTAAGTATTCTTTATTTAGGATTGGAAGATTGCCATATAGGTACCTGAGATTTCCGAATTATGATTTTAGGAGTCTAGAATCTATTTTTCAAATATTTAAAGTATGAAGGGACATGTATGAAACTTAAAAGCCAAGTCACTAGCAGCAGAGAAGGCTTCTATGAAATACACACACGGATTTTAGATGCATGAAAAAGTGAATAAAACAGCAAATGGAAATCAAGTAAATTCAGTTTATAGATCTAAAGGGAGTATAATCTTGTTTTAAATCAAGGGAGTGGAATGTTGATGACACTATGTGGTTTTATTTATTTATTTATTTATTAAATAGAAAGAAAATCATTGAGTGTTATGACAAAAGGAGAAACACATGTAAGGAAAATGTTGGACTAGATTAAGTGGTAGGAGAAATGAAAAATAAAAATCTTCAAAGAGGATTTTCCCCACACACCAAGGGCAAACAGATTTTTCAGAATCTCTAGATACTATGGTTTCATTTATAAAATGGGATTAATCCATACTAATATCACATTAAGTTACTCTAGATACGATCTTACAGTCCAACACTTTTAATGTGGCAATAAGTATAAAATAATCTAGACTTACAGAACTACCACTCAAATTGACAGTACCGGGGCGGGGGGGATATGATACTTTTTTTTAAGGAAAAACTCCCATCTTAAAAAATATTTGGTCAGCTTCCCAAATCCAAATCAAATCATTTGTTCAGTGGACTTTTTTTCAAGGTAAGCATATGTCAACCTTTTGGTGTCCACGACAGTTTTTTAAAAATACACTTTCAGGTTGGTGCATCCGCTCTAACTAAACCAAATTTTCAATTACTGTGCAAACTTCCGGTTGAAGGTACGGTTAGTTTTCTTAAGCTTGCCACACCCAAAAAGTTCTTAGCACTTGACAAAGGCAAGTCGTTGTCAGGGTTCACTTGCCACTAAAGCCTCACATCTGAAAATCTAAAGTTTTTCTAGGTAAATTTTTCCAAAACCCTTCCAGAACAAATAGTAACAATTTTAAGAAACAACCACTCTTTTCACCTTTGGGTATGTAATTTTTTGCACTTAATTTAAAATCCCAACTGAACGCATGTTCTGTTCCAAAATTCTGTAAGGAACTTATACATGGTTTCATATGCTCAACTGACTCAATCCAAAGTCTCCACCCGAAAGGAACGCGGTGTTTTATTTTGGAATTTTTCTGAAACCGCAAACTAAACCCCACCCACCCCCAGTCCAAGGTTTTTTTTTTAAAATTCTAATTACAAAAGTGGATACTGAGCTGAGAAAGCTAACTTGAGTTAATTCTTCCTACTAAATGTAGCTCCACAGCTGCAACAACAGCTGCAGCAGTGGGGCTGGGCTAGGACACCCGGCTACAGTTTTCCCGCAAACTGTCTTGAATCGGGTAAGTTTACGTTAGAAACTAAACATAGTACCGGTGTCAAAAGCCGCTAGGCTCAGGTTTCGCGGGCTCGGCTACCGCCCAAGTTCGCGGCGTCAAGGAGCTAAACCACATTTTCCAAGCTCCAAGTTAGGCAAAAGAACTAAGGTCGCGGTTGGGCCACTGGGACCGCGGCCCTCGAAACCGGGGCATTGGCTAGTACACCTGCCCAGGTGCGCCGCTGCTCTCCCAGCCGCCCCGCGAAGATGGGTCCCACCCGCCGCTCCACAAGCACCACTCACCCTGCACAGCCGCGAGAATCTGAGCTATTCGGTGACCCTTCTCGTTGCCCTAGTTGCCGCTACCACGACCCTTCTACACCCAGAGTCGCTAAAATACAACACTTCCGGCCTCCGCTTAGAAAACCGGAAGGAAGCCAAGTCACCATTCCCGGCCAACAGAGAGGACCTAACGGGGGTCGCAGTTGCCACTGCTCTAAGGGCACAATTTTGATCGAGTGCACGGGTAGGAATATAAAGCGGCGACTTAGAAATATAGTAATGTGTAGTATTTAGGTGGGTCTGATGTCTGACTTTTTGTGGTTTTTGTACCCACTCTTATGTGTATTTCTTTCTTCACCCCTTTCTTGTGAGTAGATGGTTGGGTCCACCCTGAGAGTTTGCCTCTGTGCACATACCAGTGTAAGGCCAGGGGCAGGGCTCCTGAGCCCAAGTCCTTGTAAGGCAAATAGCCGAGAAGGCTGCGAGGCCCACGTGACTGGCCTTCGCCCCGCCCCCGAGCGCCGAGCGTCGGGGGCTGCCGCCCGGCGGTCGTACGGCGGCGGGTGGGACTCTTCTGAGAGGCTAGGATTTCGCCTTTGCGTGTCGCAGCTCTGTTCGTAACCCCGAGTAATTTTATCTGTAAACCGTATAGTTTTATGAAAAGTCCCGTCCCTTCCACGCGGGAGCAAGTTTTGTGAAGTACCGCGGTCCCTCACCCAAGCGGCCATTATCTCTTTGGCCCAGGCGGATTTCATAAGGTCACAAGTGGCTGAAGACTTAACTTCCCCTTCAAAATGTGTGCTGTTACTTTTCCTACCCGAAGAGCCCCCTCTGACCCCGACTAACAGAACCTGACTGGATCCGACCAGGAAGACAGGACCAGCAATAAGAACTTATTAAATCTAGGCCCCACCTCTTACTATGTTGCATACTTGTGGCTGTTGAAAATAGGAATAAGTAGGCGGGCCTGTTTTTTCTCAGCTCCCCTTGTCTCGGACAGCTGCTAATAACGCGTCTTGTTCAGGGAAAAGAGGAAGCGTTCCCCGATTCTCTTTTTCTAACCAAAATCTGGTGAGAAAGACTATGGTGCTGGTCAGATCTCTAACCTCATCCAAGAAAAAAAATGGGATTCGATAATGCTTAGGTTATGATACCGGCACTAAGGTTCAAAACCTCGTTTGGCTCTTGTGTCAGAACAGGTCTGAAGTTTGAAGTTCCCCCATGGTCCTTACAAAAGCTGCTCTTATTTGAATCATCCTGCTGAAAAGATAGGTAAAAGATGCAGAATAATATAAATATTAAGCTACGCCTTAAAGGACTTAAGGAGCATTTCATCTATTAACCAATAGTATATTTAAAGTTAACTTAAAGTCAATGAAAAATAAAAAACTGCCCCAATTGTATGGTGTGACTGAAACAAAGATGATTAATTTCCTAAATTGCCTTGATAGTAAGAGTCACTTGGGAGTACTAGCTAAAAAATACAAACTATTCAGCCCACTGAATCAGAATCTTCTAGGGCAGGTCTAAGGAAATCATCAATTTAACAGGGCTCCTAAGTCACTCATCACAAAAGGTGGGGGGGCACAGAGCTAGATGGCTTAGAGCCTAAGGCTTTGGCAGTGACAGCTCAGAGGGCAGATGGGTGAGTGATGGGAGGCTACAGTTCTTGGAGTTTGACTTGAGCAGCAGTGAGAGCACCATACAGTAGGAATTCCTTGCAGTGCACACACACCTCCACTGAGTGGTGGCCTGCTACCATAGAGAGCCCAAGCCTTCCACAACAGTCCTTCAGGAAGAAAACGAATCCATAACAATGAAATCAAGTTTAGTTTTTCACTAAGCTCCAAAGGGAGCAGAAACTTATTTTCCTTCTATAGTGTCAAAGAATTGCCTCTTTTGTCTTCTTTCCTTCCACTCAGTGAACTGGTAAACAGAGACTGCATTGCCAAGCACTGTGGTGGGTGCTGTGGTTTATGATTTTTGAAATACGAGTATCATTGCTACCTCTTGGATGAGGGGAGAGGGAATAGAAAGGATCGCAAAGGCACAGGGGGTGTCAGGGAATAATTGTGGAACAGATCATTACAGTACAATTATGTAAGGCCTATAGAAGGAGTGCAAAGGAGGAAATAAACCTGTCTGTAGGTTTGTGGGAAGGTTTGCCTGAGAGGACTCTTGCAGAGCTGATTCTAGAAGCAAGTGAGGAAAGAGAGGAAAGATTCCAGGCAAAGGGAGCAGTGTGCTTGATTGTCTGAAGGTGATCAGGAAGCAAATACTATTTTTAAATACCATCCCCCCCCCAAATTAATACCTAAAAAAAAATTACAGTTTAGGCTTACTTCAAGAAATTATTTAATTTCCTCTTCTGAAAAAGGGCATAATAATAACAGCTACTATACTCAATAACTGTCAGGATTAAGTGAGACAATCTATGTAAATTTCTTAGTGAGAAATCATCTTGGTTGTGTTAAGGCACTGAAATTTGGAGTTTGTAGAGAGCAGTTAGCCTACCCTGGCTAATTACTAAACCAATGTTCTGTCTGTTCTACCGGAGGAAACAAGCTGAATGGTCACTTTACATTTAGTGATCACAGGCTCTTGATGCTACCTTGATGCTGAGGATATTTCTCTAGTCCTTTCATGCTCCTGCTCTCTTATATGTCAGTGTTATCATTTATATCTTCTAATACCTCCAACACCTCCTATTCTTGATCTTAGTCTATGAACTTGTTTCTAAGTCACTGAGAAAAAAAATTACTCCCACAAACTCCCACCACCACATCTATCCAACAGCCAGCATTTGTTCCTATATGTTATCTTCACACTCCTGTCTGAAATAGAGAGGTACCCTTCTTGCTCCTATAGAAAGGCATTTCTCCATTTGCTCTTTGTCATTCCGATGATTCATCCCTCTCCTGTATCAAGTTCTCTCTCTCTCTCTCTCTCTCTCTCTCTCTCTCTCTCTCCATATATACACACATATATAATTATTTCCATCAATAAGTATACTGTAATGTGTTCCAGCATCATGACTTCCCAGATGTCAACACCCATATCTCTAGAACCTGTGAATATGGTAGGTTATGTGGCAAAAGGGAATTAAGTTTCCTAATGAGCTGACCTTAAAATAGGAAAGTTATCCTGTGTTATCCCAGGGAACCAAATGTAATCTCAAGGGACCTTAAAAGTAGAACAGGGAGGCAGGATAAGACAGTCCGAGGGAGGTATGAATGTGGAAGTGTGGTCAGAGTGATGCAATGTTGCTGACTTTAAAGATGGAGGGAGGGGGACATGAGCCAAGGAATGTGGGTGACCTATAGAAGCTGTAAAAGGCTAGAAAAATGTATTCTCCCCCAGCGCCTTTAGAAAGGAACACAGTCTTGCTGACACCTTGATTTTTGGCCCAGTGAGACCTAGCTTGAACTTCTAACCTACCAAATTATAAGATCATTAACTTGTGTTGTTTTAAGCCACTAAATTTGCAGTAATTTGTTACAGCAGAAATAGAAAACTAATATAGACAACAACAACAACAAAAACCCTCTCCCTGAGGTACTTTCCTCCAGCTATCGTCCTATTTTTTATTCCCCTTAATAAGGCTCCTCAAAAGAGTCACCTATATTCACTGGCTCCAGTTCTCTCTTTAACCCTTGATAATAAGGCCTTTCCCCCCGCCCCCCAACCACTCCACATAGTGTGAGCTTTTCAAGGACACCAATGACCTCAATATTACCTTGGCCAATTCTTGGTCTTCAATCAGGTTTGATAAGGTAATCTTTGAAACACTTCAATCCTCATCTTTGAAACACTTTTCTCTCTCATTTCTAGGATACTGCACTCTCCTGGCTTTCCTCCTTATGGCTACTCTTCAGTTACTTTGCCAGTTTTTCTAATTTCCCCAGTCCCTTGGAGTAGCTGAGGACTCAGTGCTTGGCTCTCTCTTCTGTCAATACTCCTTTCCTAGCTGATCTCATTCACTTTCATGGCTCTAAATACTACTTAAACTGATTGCTCCCAAGTATGAACCTCTGGCTAAGACTTCTACCTTGTACTCCAGATTCATTTATCTAAATATTCACTTGATATCTCCATGAGGAGGTCTAGTAGGCATCTCATCCTTCATTGTCTAATACAGATCTCCAAATCATATCTCTGAAGAAGTCTTCCTGCTGTCTTCTCTATGCAGGTTAGTGGCAATTCTGTACTTTAAGTTGCTCAGGCAAAAAACTTTTGATTCATCTTTGCCACTTCTTTTTCTTTCATGATCCTCATCTAACCTTTCAATCAAAGTATCTCCAGGGTCTAGAACAATAATTAACGTAAAATTATTAAGTTCTTCAAAATATATCAGAAGATGACTATGTCTCACCACCTCTACTGCTACCATCCTCATGCCAGGTATACTCTCTGAAGCTTGGATTTTGCAACCGCCTTCTAATCTTATTTCCCCTATGTTGTACTTCCATAGAGCCACAGAGTTATTCTTTCAAATAATGAATTAGATCATGTCATTGTTCTGCTTGACACCCTCCAATAGTGTCTTACCTCATTCAGAGTGAAAGTCAAATGTGTTAAAATGAATGGCCTGTGAGACCCAAGGAGATCAGAATCTGGGAACCTCTCTGACTTTATCTCCTACTGCATGCCCTCCCCAGTTGCTCAGCCACAATGATCTTCTTGCTATTTCTTGAAGAAGTCAAGTTTTCCACATCAACATCTTTGCATTTGGTGTTCCATCTGATTTCAATGATCCTTCTTCCAATGTTTTCATTTCTTTTCCCTCAACTCTTTCAAGTCTTAATTCAAATATCACTATCTCAGTAACACCTTCTCTGGTCATTATATTTAAAGTGTCATTATTCATCTTCCACCTCTAGCATTTTCCTCCTTTGCTTTATTTTTCCCATTACATTTATTACCTATGGTCTCAAAGATGCACTCAGTGTAGGAGAGGTTGTCTTTGTCCAGCTTGTTGTGGCTCTCTAGGAAGCTAAACCAGACACTGCCTGTTGTGATCTCAATGGGGAGTTTCCCCCTTGCAGGGCGATTTGAGCTGTTCCAGATCTTCAAGGATGATGTTGTTGGTCTGCTCCTGGAGGAGGTCCTGTACTTGGCCTTGATGCCTCCAGGATGAGTACAAAGGGTATGGGGAT